GTAATTCTGGGGATGTCTGAAAAGCAACAGATGGAGAAAAACACAAGATCAGTTGCTCTGCCCTTTTGCACAGGGCAGCTAATCTGCAGCTCAGCTTTGCACTGGAAAAGAAGAGGCTGGATGGCCACCCACAGCAGGCAGAGAGTTTCCTAAGATCTCTGTCAATGTTTCGGAGAAAACCAGGAGCAGAACAGCTGCCATCCCCTGGCATGAACTTAAAACCACCCTGGTTTCTGAAAGAGCTTCCCTAAATCTGACCTAGGCTATTTTTTGAATTCCTTTATATATATATATATATATATATATATACTGGGGTTTTATTCCTCAAATGTATTCTAAGAACTTCCCTCGTTTCATCAGCCCCTTATCCAGAGCTGAAAGAAGAATGGTAAAAATTAATGGAAATAAGTTACCTGGGCTGGTGAAACATTTATTTCTGACAGACACACAGAGTGTTCAGCTGCTGTTTGCCTGCTGACCATGTCATGGAACACCAAGTTATTATTTAAAGTGGTGTCATGTTACAACCTGGGAGCTGTTTCCCACCAATCCTAAAACTGTCACTTCCACCCTGCTCCAGGGAAGAGCTCTTCCCTGCGGCCACAGCATCATCTGCTTTGTGCCACACTCCTTCAGCTTTCTTCTCTCCCACCACAGTTTGTTGCCAGTACCACTGGTGACCCTTAACACTGCGCTCACTGACATGTCCAGCATCACCCAGGATTTAGTGGTGTTACCTCAACCTCCTGCAGAACCTGCTCTGTCAGAAACAAAGCAGCTTTGCAAAAAGGGACTTAGATGCAAAAATTAGGAACAATGGAGTGTCTGGGTGCAGTGTAGGTGTTCACCTGAGTGAAGGTGCCTGTGCAGGTCTCTGGACAGCAGTCAGAGAGGAGGCCCCAGGGAAGGAGAGGGTGGGGTGGAGGATGGAAGGGTGGTTCTCACCTTGTGATGAAGCACAATGTCAGGCTGACCAACAAGAACAGGAGCAGGAGAGATCCCACAACAAATAGGGCAATTTCCCAGGCCTGGAAGGAAGCTGCAGGAGAAAAGGCAGAGAAGGGTCATTGCAGCCATGACCTGTCCCAGCATGGGGGGCCCAGGAGGTTACAAAATCAGAGTTACAGAATGGGTTGGATTGGGGCAGGCAGCATTGGGTTGAGTTGGAAGGCACCTTTAAAGGCCATCTAGTCCAAACTCCTGCTATGGGCAGGGACACCTTCCACTATCCTAGGTGGCTCCAAGCCCCATCCAACCTGGCCTTGGACACTTCCAGGGATGGGGCAGCCACAGCTTCTCTGGGCAACAGCAGGTTGGGCTTTCCCAGCCTCCCAGTCTGGAGATACATTCTTCTCCCTGTGCCACCTCCAGCCTGGGTGCCAGAGGCTGCTCCCAGCAACTGGGCTTTGGGGTTCCTGAGCTATGTGACCAAGGGGCTCCCTAGTGAAGCCCAGTCTGGTGGTTTGCCCTGCAAGGCCCCTCTGACGTGGAGATGTGGCCTGACCCTGACCCCAGCCCCTCTCCCTGCGCTGGAAGCAGAGCCCAGTGCTTAATTTTGCCTCCTACTTACCACCACTGTGTGACATGGGCAGTACATTTTTGGGGGTCCCACACTCAGGACTGGTCTTCAGCACTCTCCCATCCACGGAGAAGGGGTGGGGGCTGGCCACGAATCCCTGGAGCCAGGTCTTGATGGACTGCTCCTGCTCCGGCTGCCGAGCCCACACCTGGGCCCAGACCTTCACCAGGGAGCCCACACACGTCAGGTTCAGCTCTGTCAACAACCAACAGCGGGTCTTGGGTGGTCAGAAGCCCTCTGGTGCTGGGGAACACATTGCTCCCAGGACCTTGTGCTCTTCACCTTCTTGTCCCCACTGCTCTGAGATCATGCTGCCCTCTGCATCACAGGCACTCTGAGCACGCGCCCAACCTTTCTTCTGGTGACCAAAGGGACTTGGAGTTGCCCTCCCACCCAGCAGAATGCCTGGTACTACACTTTGTACCTCTACCCATTGGTCAGAGTTGTCTGAAATTGTTCAAAGGGTCAGAAAGGCATTTAGGTGAGGGAGACAAAGCATGGCAGCAAAGCCTTCCCTTCTTTACAAAACCAGCCAAAACCAAGGAAGCATTTCTTCCCATTCCTCAAAAGCTGTAGGTCCCTAAGGCTTCCAGAAGTGACTGATTGGTCTTGGTACTTTGAGTAAGTGTAAGACACTGAAGGTATTGGGAACCAGAGTCCTCTGGTGTGCAAAGGGCTGTTTGTTTTGTGGGTTTGGGATGTGCAGTTTGTGTGACAGACACCACAAGGCATCACCAGAGACTACCACTCCTCAGGGTCCCTCCAGCTTGCCCGACCTCTCACTAAGAGCCTGTGTCAGGTTCTCTCCTGCTCTCCTCGCTGAAATCCCATGTGCCCACGATGGGTCCTCCAGGTGCCCTCACCCCCTGCGAGCTGGGCTGGAGAAGTGACCATGACAGCAGCTGTGGATGAGCAGTCAGAGGGAGGAGGGCACTTGGACAGGGCACCAACCTTGCACATAGAGCTCGGAGACACCGCAGGAGCACTCTTCCTCTAGAGAGCTCACCAAGACCCTTCTCAAACTTTCCAGCATCCTCCTGTGGTGCAGGGTCCACATAGAACAGTCTAGGGGAAGAGGAGAGGTGATTTTCTGGGTGCAGCTCAGGACTGCTCATAAGTTCCTGGTTATGTGATCCTTCTAAAACAATTGGCTTCATCCCACCCTCCTCTGCCCCCCATCCTCCTCTGCCCTTCTCTGCAGGATGAGTTTTCACTTCTGGCCTTCTACCACCATGTACACCAGCTTGGCTCCTTTCTCAGCCTCCCAGGGGAGTAGGGAAGGGGCATGCCCCACATTCCCACGACATGGGCCAGTACTGAGTGGTCTCATGCTGGGAGAGGAGGGAGAGACCCACTGCCTGCCCCTCTCAGGAGGATGGGGAGGAACCTCCATTTTGCCAGGTCTTGGCTACCCCAAGCTGATCCCAGCATGGCCTTTGCAGGAGCTGGAGACCCCTCTGTACTTTTCCTTGCTGGCTCTGGGGTAGGACTGAGCTGCAGGAATTTCTTCCCATAGATGGGTTGAGACAGAGGGTTTGCTGGCAGTTTCTCTGACTGTGCCCCCATCACCACAAGAGATCTGAGGGGGTGGTCCCTGCCATTTCTGCAAATTTAACACTGCAGAAAAATCCTGATCAAAGCTCAGTCCTGCCTGAGCAGAGATAACTCAAATGAAATATGTGGCCACCTTCATATCATAGAATCCTCATAGGGTTGGAAGGGACCTTAAAGCTCATCTCATTCCAACCCCCTGCCATGGGCAGGGACACCTTCCACTAGCCCAGGTTGTTCCAAGGCCTGTCCAACCTGGCCTTGGACACTTCCAGGGATGGGGCAGCCACAGCCTCTCTGGACAGCCTGTGCCAAGCCCATACAAGCCCACGCTGAGCTGTGGGCTCAGATGCCCTCCTGGGACAGCAGCACCACATCCACACGTGGGTCTGTACCAGCTGTCCCCCAGTGTGTCCCCTCTCACAGCAGCAGGCTGCCCACCAGCACCCCTTCCCATGCCATGGGTCAGCCCCCCCAGTGCTCCCAGCCTGCCCTGGTGGGTGCCCAGCTCCACTCACCGGGTGTCAGGAGGCAGAGGTGCAGATCCACGGCCAAGGCCTGCTGGGGGCAGCTGTTCTGCAGGCCGGGGGAAGGCTCCGAGAGGGCAAACTGCAGTCCTGTGCTGGCACTGCCACAGCGGCTCAGGGACAGGGGCCTGTCCCCAGAACAAGAGTCAGAGTTCAGTGATGTCACCCACCTTTCTTCCCACCTCCAACCACAAATCCCACCATGGGCCCCAGTTCCTGGTGCTGCTGGGGATGATGGAGAGTTGGCTGGAGCTGGAGCTGAAATCAGCTTTCACTCAGCCATTGTAGAGATGGGTCCAGCCAACCCCACCAGCTGGAGAAGACGTGGGCTTGGCCAAGCAAACCTATTTGGTCTGACTGGCTTCGGTAGGAGTAAGATTGCTGCCTCATTACAGCCTGCCTCCCAAAACTAAGAGTTTGTCCTCCAGGATAGAGTTTCCCAGGCTACACAATACCTGCCCCTGCATTTCACTAACCTATTGCTCCCTCCTCACACCAGGCACTTCCCCAGAGAAGTGACCTCACCTGTCACCCTTGCAGGGCACGGCGTAAGATGGCCCAAGGAAGCCCAAGTGTCCTCCAGCTGTGCCAGGCTCACATGTGTAAACCAAGGCATCCACCAAGCTCTCTGGCGTCGCCTTCCCGCCGTGAACCACGCTGGTGCTGTATACAGCAACAGCACCGGAGCCTTCACTGCTGGCAGAGATGTCCTTCAAGGTCAGGTTTGTCCCATCTGGAAATGCCGGGGGAATTGGTGGGGTGAACATCTAGATAGTGTTAGGCTGAGCGTTGAGCCTGACTGGACAAAGCTGGTGATGAGGAGAACTTCAAGAACAGAAATGAGAGACAAAGGAATGGTGCTGACTGAGGCCAAGTAAAGCTGTAAGGAAGCTGCTTGCTGTGAACACAGGTTTCCAAAAAAGATCAAGGTTCCTCTAAAATGCGGAGTCCTCTTCATGCAGCCCAGTCAGAAATTAAAGGTGAACAAGAAATAAATCAAGATAAAGGAACATGCTGAGGAAGCACCAGCTGAGGACCAGGAGGAGGCAGCAGCACTGCGGGGCTCAGGGAGCATCGGTGAACATGGGTACCAGGGAAGGACCCACAGCCCTGGGGGGTCCTGCTTCTCCTGAAATCCCCTTGTCTTGGTACTGGCAGGAGGAGTTTTCAGTCCTCCCGCTCTCCTGCACGAGGTGCTTGTCAGAGGCACAGAATATGACCAAACAGCCCAGGCATAACAGAGAAAAAGCAGGAATAAAGAACAGGAAAGGCAATTAAAAAGGCAATTTAGAGTTGTTCCTCATGCTGTGTACCCTCCTCCATCCGTTTCCTCAAAGCCACTCTCAACCCTCTGCCCATTTCTTTGAAGTCAGACCCCATGCCAGGTCGGCCTCACCCTCACCCTGCCCGTGCTCTCCGTCCAGCACCAGCACCAGCAGCCCCGTGGCTCCGATGGTGCCCTGCAGTGGGACGCTGGCACGGGCCTCGCCCTCCTTCTCCGAGAAGAAGACCAAGTTGAGCCCTGCCAGGCCGGTGCCAGGCTCCCCCTCCAGCTCCACGAAGCCGCTGGGCAGGCACAGCTCACTGATGCGGACAGCGGGAGGGACGGGCACCGAGGAGCTGCCGCACAGGTTCTCCCCCAGCGGTGTCACCCTGGTCACCTGTGGGGAGACACAAGAGCTGTTGCCACCATGCTGCTCCCATTTATTCAGCGATGGCTGCTCACGGCATTCCCCTGAACACCTCCTGTGGCTCCCTGTGAGGCCTCCAGAGGATGCAATTGTGGAATCACAGAATGGTTTGGGTTGGAAGGGACCTGAAAGCTAATCTCGTTCCACCCCTGCCCTGGGCAGGGACATCTTCCACCAGCCCAGGTTGCTCCAAGCCCTGTCCAACCTGGCCTTGGACACTTCCAGGGATGGGGCAGCCACAGCTTCTCTGGACAGCCTGTACCAGGGCCTGCCCACCCTCACAGGGAGGAATTTCTTCCTAATACCCAACCTAAATCTACCCTCCTTCAGCTTAAGGCCATTCCCCCTTGTCCTGTCTCTCCAGGCCCTTGTCCCCAGTCCCTCTCCAGCTCTCTTGGAGCCCTTTTAGGCCGTGGCAGGGGCTCTCAGGTCTCCCTGGAGCCTTCTCTTCTCCAGGCTGTACAACCCCAGCTCTCTCAGCCTGTCTTCATAGGAGAGGGGCTGCAGCATCTCCAGAGCATCTCTGAGGCCTCATCTGGATTTGTTCCAACCAGTCCATGTCTTTCTTGTGTTGAGGGCTGCAGATCTGGCTGCAGTACAGGATGTGGTGATTCTGGCTCACATCAACTGCTCCTCACTCCCACCATCAGCTCGAGGGTTGTCCTGACTGTGGGTTCCCATCACCTTTACCCCTACCCTCGGGACTAGGAACAACTTTCCCTACAGTTGGAAGTACTTACAAAGTGCTGTCTACAGTCCATGGCATCACTTCCTTGGGGTCCCCTCCCACTTACCAATGGATCTCATTCCTACCAGCAGACCTGTGTCTGGAGCAGCTTATTGCCTCAGGTTTTGGACATCCCTCTGGCAGCAGCAGTAGAGTAGCAAAGCCCTCCCTTACCCAGCTTTGTGCAGGACAAGCAGACACACTCTGCCATGTTCCTGCAGGGGACTGTCTGGGACGAGGCATTTTGAAATAAAAAGGAGCAGTTCAGGTAAACTAATGCAAATTAATCATGCCAGTGGTCAAGGCACGTCCTTCCTGCACTGCAGCAAGCGGGGTTTGAGGGACCTGATAGGCTGTGCCACACACCCCGATGGTGGAGCCACAGAAAAGGTGGCTCCATGTCTGGCTCAGGGTAACCTGAGAGCGTGACTGTGGATGGAGAACAGACACCTGCCCTCCCAGTGACTGTGGATGGAGAATGGACACCTGCCCTCCCAGTGACTGTGGATGGAGAATGGACATCTTCTCACCTGGAAGCTGCTCTGGAGTTTTGGGCTCAGGCTGTGGCAGCGGCTCAGAGACTCGTCCTCGGTGCTGTGAGAGTCGTTCTCGTACAGGATGCCCTGCCCTGGCACCAGCACCCTGAGCAGCTGCTCTGCCTTCTCGGTCTGCCGGGCCGTGTAGACGACGGCGTCCACCAGCCCGTGCGCCGTCACTGCCGTGCCCACGGCGTGGGGCGCGGTGCTGCCGTGGTACAGAGCCACGGCGTCCGGCCCGTTCTGGATGCTGTTGGGGGGCAGCCCAATCATGGGTGCTGGGCTCACCCTGCTGCTGCCCACCAAGAAATAACCCTGCTCGTCCGTGTGGTGTCCGGACAGGTCCAGCACCCGATAGGCCCGGCCGGTTCTCCCGTTGTAGAGGACCAGCCAATATCCCTGGAGGTCGAAGCGTGTCCGGCCAGTGTAGAAGAGTTCAATGTACTCGGCATCCTCTCCTGCCCCAGGGTTGTCTGGGTTCACCTCATTGATGAGTAGCTTGGCCTCCTGCACAGTCCCTTCTGGTATCTCTGAAGGGACACCTGGAAAGCAAAAATGTCCCAAATATGGGCCTAAGCACAGCATTGCACACTGTTTTGCTGGGATGAGGCCAGATTTAGCAGAGGACTGAGGATGCTGGCTCAGACTTTTATCATCCATGTATTTTATCATCCTTAGAAGAGCCCTGGTAACACATTGGTTAACACAACAGAGCTTGCTGGTAGTCCAGACAATGAGCAATATGGGCTCTAGCAATGGAATTGGAAGAGATTTTTGCCAGGGTTGGGGAAATGGAGGGAGGGCTATTTCCCTCCTCTAGGAGAGCCAGATCCACATGTCCACCCTCAAACACACTGTATCCCCCACCCTGCAGAAATGACCACTGGTACCTGGAGGCAAGTCTGGCGTATTAATATCCTTGAAACAGGAGCTTCCTACTGTGACGTTCCTTCCACCAAAGCTCACAACTCCAGGTGTCTCTAGGGAGGTGTTGAAGGCCAGCAGGAAGCTGCTCAGCTGCTCCTCCGACCTGGCAGTGAGCAGAGTGCTGAACACGAGCCCCAGGTCCTGGCAGGCTGCCTTTGGCTCTGCAGAGGCAAGCAGAGAACTGCCCCAGTTTCCCCACACCACTTTCTCCTGGGAGAGATGAGCTCACCAGCTCATCTCTGTCACAACTGCCCTCGTGGTCAGACTGACCTGGGGCAGCTCATCCCATCAACACAGCACTGGGAGTTCTGCCTGTGCCAAGGGGCACCCTGGGGCCAAGTCTGTGTCCAGCTCTGGGGTTTCCAGCACAGGAAGGACATGGACCTGCTGGAGCCAGTCCAGAGGAGGGCATGTAGATGACTGGGTGACTTAGAATCTTAGCATCAGGGAATGGTTTGCCTTGGAAAGGACCCTCAAGGTCATCTAATTCCAACCCTCCTGCCATGGGCAGGATCCACAGTTCATATGGATCATAAGGTCAAACAGACAACAAACTCCCAGTGGAGATGTCAGTTCTGCTGCCACCTCTGTGGCTGCCCATGCCAAGGCCAGAGCAGCCAGTGATCTGCAGTGAGCCCCAGCATGTGCTGGGGGAGCTGAGGATGGGACGCTCTGAGGAACAACACCGTGCTCTGCCCAACCCTGGACATCTCTGTCATCAGCGCCAAGATCAAATCAGCTGGATCCAAGCCAGGAGAACACAATGCAAGAGGGAACATGGGGCTGAAAATCAGGAACAGGTGGGCATTGGGGGTCCCTGGACTGCCCAGCTCACCTCTGAAATAGGCAGCAGAGACTCCACCACTGTAGGATCCATTGAGGGCCTGGACTAGACTCAGCAGAATCTCTTCTGGCTTCAAGAGCCACTCCTGGCAATCTAGGAAACAAAGAGCCAACTGTTACCCAGCCAGTGCCACCCTGCTCACGGGATACAGCTGGGATGGCTGCAGCTCTGCTCCTGTTTATCATCCAGAGGACCCAAAAGCTTCTCTTCATCCAATCAACTGGAGGTGGAATGGAGACTGGGAAAGCTCAGCTTGGCATGGGCTGCCATGAAATTACTGTGGACAACTGCCAGATGTCCTGGTTGTGTTTCCTTTGGGGTTAATTCACAGAACCCAGTAGGACTCTGGGTGGCCTCCCTGGATAGCTCTGGCTTTGTGCATGTGCTCTGGCCCTCGGGAGGTCCTGCAGAAGTCACCAGTGCCCACCTGCTCCGTGGAGGCAGAAGGAGAGAGCCTGGCTGAAGCGTTTGCTGGGGCAGTCGTTGAACGTGCCAGGGGTGGGCCTGCTGAGGATGAAGGATGTGGAGTCCTGGGTCACGGAGCAGCAGCTGCACCGGCTCATGGACACATCTCCTAGCTGATGTCTGCAGGAGACAGACAGGTAAATGACACAAAACATGACCTGCCAGCTGGACACCTGAGTGCTCTTCACCCACCAGTCACACCTGCCTCCACCAGACAGTGAAACTGTGTGGTTACAGTCTTCTCCCTTCGTAAGGTTTGGAGAGATATCCCATCCTTATCAGTACTTCTTTGTCTCACAAAAAAAAGCCCCAAGAGTTCAACAAAACCTGAGACAGAGGAGCATGAGCTTCGTACAACCTTTTCTCTTCTAGCACTGGTGCTTTTTGACTGATCTGAAGACAGACCAGATGGTACAGACACAGTCATGCTCAGCCTGTCACTTCTGAGAAGAGCAGTGGGTGCAGCTGGAAAAGTAGCACCTGAGGATGAAATACTTGAGCAAGAGCCCTCAACTCAAAGGTGAAGAGGATGGTCAGGGGCTGGATTAGGTGACCTTTAAAGGTCTCTCCCAACACAAACTATTCTGTGGAGCCCCACTGTGAGGAGCTGCAGATCAGAACTGCTCAGAGCTACCAGGGAAGGAAAGCACCCTGTGGGACCAGTGCTGATTGAGTCTCACATGGGGAGGAAGAGGAACAAAGTAATAGGGATGTGCTGTGAATGAGTGGTGACCCTGACAGGGGTGTAGACTGCACCCTCTCCTGATGTGGTTGACTCCACTGTAGTCTCCAATCATCTTTCCACAGGCCCATCCAGGAAGAGTAAATCTCCTCCAGCCACAGAGCCAGGATCTTGGTATTTAGTTCATAGTTACACCCAGAGTTCAGGTCTAGTGCTTGGCTATGAAAACCACAGACAAGAGTGAGCTCAGATGGTTTTTTCTCACTGCCTGGTTCTAACACCCCTCACCCCACAGCCCTCGCTGCCTCTGCTCCTCCACCACTCCACTGCCCTTTACCCACTGTGTGTCCTCTTACATTAGTAGGACATGCCTAAAATGAGAAGGAAACAGTTCTCACATCTCACAGAAGTCTGAGGTTTCCAACATTTCTCATAATCCCCAGAGACAAAAAGAAACCCAGAGATAAAAAAGAAAGTGGCTGAACCCAGAACGAGCAGTAATCCTGCTTGCAGTCCCTGGTCAGGATGAAACAGGGCAGGTCAGGTGAGCAATGCTGAAGTACCTTCCTCACCCTCATTTTGACCTGAAATTCCATCCTGAAGCTAAGAAAAGCCTTTTCTTGTTGAAAGCAGAACTGGAAAATTTATTATGTTGACCTCTTATAAACTAACTACTAAATTCTTATAAACTATTAAAATTATAAAATAATAACCAGCAATCATTTAACCAGGAAATTCCTCCTCGTCCTTTATTCTGCAGCTGGCACCAGGACCAGTGTGGAAAGGGAACACCTATGGCCTTAGAGCAGGCTGGGACTCAGTATTGCCACGAGGAGACCCTGGTCTGGAGGGGGCACTTTCCTCTCAGTCCTGTCGGGGTTTGAGGCACAGTGTGGGGTGACCCCAGCAGGCAGGAGCAACTCTGGTATCGAACTGCCCTCCCAGCCCTGCCCAGAGAGGAGCCTCTCACCGCTTTTCCAGGAGGGCAGGTCTGCCAGGGGTCAGGGTCTCCAGCAGCTCCGGGTCCAGCTCCTCGTCGCTCGTGTACACGAAGGCGTCCAAGAGACCGGACTCTGGCAGCCCCTTCCCCGGGACAAAACTGCTGCTGTGGCCTCTATAGAGGGCAATGGCAGTGGGGCCAGCCCTGAGGACAGGACGGGTGGTGTTCTCTGGGAACGGCAGGTCAACTGCACACCAAGGGAAGGAACAACAAGGGCACGTGATCAACACCTGGTGATACTCACCATGCAGGAAACCAGCATCTCTTTGGTCTGAGAGGACGTAGGGTCTCAGAAGGTGGCTGGGGTTGTCTGCTTAGTACAAATTTGGCACCTGTTGCCCCATCTTTCTGCTCACTAACACTTCTCATGTTCGCTCAGCCTCAGTTTCCCCATTTGGGGCCAGATGCACAGAGTGGAGGCTGGAGGAACAAATCTGAGCACAGTTTGTTCTGCTCTTTTGGTTCTGTGAACAGAGGAGCTGATCCATGTGTGAGCAGACCAACTGGAAAGCCAGCACTGATCTGGCTTTGTCTACAATAAAGTCAATTTTTAATTCTAAAAGAGATCTACAAACTCCACTAACCTTTTAGGTAGCAGTTAGTACACAAAGGCATTGAAGAATTCACATTTTATTCTAGCATTTAATGATCTGTGGTTTTCACAAACACAAACTTCATACACCCACATCCAGCCAAGGCCCAGGATACCAGCACACAAAATTCAGGCTGAGGTTTGGTGGAGTTTTGCAATTTCATGAGCTTCCTAATTTCTTTCCTTCTACTTGCTGTTCCTTCACAAGCTCTTTCTCCAGCACCAGGAGGAACTGCTTAGGACATTCAGAAGCAGACTGCTGGTATTTCAATACTTCTGCCTCTGCAGATCACTCCAGAGCAAACATTAAAGGAAAAATCACACGAGAGGCAGAAGTGCCTCGAGAAGTGCCCCCAGGACACTTGCATGCCAAGGGACAGCCCTGTGCCTTAGTCCTGATGTAGCCCTGCCCAGGGAACTATTTTTCATAAACCTAATTTAGTGGCCTTCTACTGCACTGCAGGACAAGGGAAGAGCAACTGATGTCATCTCTCCTGATTTCTGCAAGGCCTGTGACATGCCCCACACTGGCATCTCTTAGGGAGTACTTTTGCTCCAGTGCTCCCATAGCTTTAAGTTCCTGCAGTGTCAGGCAGATGAGCTTTACAAAGACAGGACAAACTTCTGAGACCTTTCTTTAAGAGCTCCTGTCCCAAATCTGAAGTGATCAGGTTAAATCAGCTTCTCACAGAGTGTTTCAGCATGGAGTCACAATCAAAGTAACCTTTTAAGATGACTAAAATACAGTGTCATTGGGTGTTTTGGGGGAAAACCTTTCCCAAAAATGAGTGTGCAGTATGCTTGAGACATCGTGACAAAGCTTCATCAGAAAAAAACACCCAAGCCTATCTCCAGTCTCCTTCTTGAGCCTTGAGAAAGTGTTAAACATAATTCTCACAAATTTCCTGCTTAGTCTGAAAATTTGTTGTGTTTTCACATCACTTTTCGTGATCCCCCTTAGCTATTTACTGCTCACAGCCCAGCTCATCCAGAGGGAAAATCAGAGCACCGTTCCTGGGGAGAAAAGCAGAGCTGAAGTGGACAATCAGCTCTTCTATGCATGGTGAGAGAATATTAGGAGCAATGTGAATTGTAAGAAGGAGTTCAACTGTTTAAAAAGATGTTTTAGTTGCCAAAGTATTCTTGTGGGAACCAGCTCCGTATGGGATGAATATACTCCCAGAAACTGTGAGTCAGTGAGTTACACAAGACATCTGCAGAGTCAGCATCTCCACATGCCAAAATCTTCTTCTGAGGTGCCCAAAATAATAAGATGTTTCTTCCTTCTCTGGTGACCTGGAAGAAACTGTGAGCACTGGGAGGAAGTTCAGATGCAGGTTCACACAGCTGGCACACGTGGGACGTGGAAGAAAAACCCCTGTGTTTTTTGAGGAGAGAGTGTGTATCTGCTGTGGTGACCACAGAGAAGGGGGACACTTCCAGGGGATGTGGCACAGCCAGGGTCCACAGCAGGGTGGCCACAGGGCTGGGAGCAGAACTGTGTCCTCCCAAGAAGCAAAGCAAACATGGACTAGCAACCTCCATCAGGTCCCTCGCCTGGGGCTCTGCAGGTCTCCCACTGTCATTCCACCTCCTCTTTGCCTGGAGCTCTTGTACCAGGAGGAAGGGGAAGCAATCCAACGCTGTCCACTTCCTTCAGGCTGTTCACATCTCTGAAACCTCTACCAGGACCCTTCTCAGCTTTCCCTTTTCTAGGTGTTCTCAGTTGTTTCTTCTGTGGAAGCTTTTCCACAGCATTACCCATCCTGATGACCTCTCTGAATGCCTCCAATTCCAATAGATCCTTTTTGAGACTGAGGTAGTGAACCACACTTAGGCACAACTAAAGATCCAAGCAAACCATGCATTTGTACAGTGGCATAAAAGATGCCCTCTGTTCTTTCCTCTTCTCCTAATAATTCCTGATATTCCCTTTGCTTTATACAATTCCTTTCTCAATAATTTTTAACATCTCCTTTTCATTTGCCACCGAGTTCTGAGTCACATTTTTCACTGATCCCTCAGAATGCCAAGCAACAACAAACACAACCAGCATCGTCCAACCCCACACCTGGTGATCCCTGCCCAGCCCTGAGGTCGTCATCCACACGCAGGTCCTACCTGGGGTTTCTCCGTGTGCAGGGCCGATCAGCAGGAGCCCATCCAGGGAGGTTTGGCCGTGAACATCCAGGGTGAAATAGATGTCTTTGGTCCGGCCATCAACCAGCACCAGGACAATGTCCCTCAGCACGGTGGAGTGGGGGCCCTGGAGCTCTATGAACTCCAGGTCGCCAGGAGGGGCCGTGGGAAGGACCTCACTGATGAGGACGGCAGAGGAGTTCAGCTCAGGAGTCAGGAGGCAGTGGTTGTCTGTGCCCGGCGTGGGCACGGCCACCTGGAAGATCCACTGAGAATCGGCCCCATGGCACCTCTCTATGGACTCATCCACAGCCCTGAAGGTGGGGTCCTCCAGGAAAGCCTCTCTGCCAGGGGTCAGCACCCTCACAAGCGTGTCTGCTCTGTCCGTCTTCTTAGTCTTGTGGACCAGGGCATCCACCAGCCCGTGGCTGGTGACACTCATGCCCTCTTTGTAGCTCCCATTTCCGTAGTAGAGAGCGATGGCATCGGGGCCGTTCTGGATGGTGTTCTTAGGGATAACCATGGCAGGGTTCACGGAGGAGGAGCCAATGAGGAAGAGCCCCTGGCTGTCGGTAACTCTACCCCGGAGGTTCAGCACCTTGTAGGCTCGGTTGCCGTTGCCGTTGTAGAAGACCAGGTGGTAACCATCCAGGGGGGCTGTTTGCCCACTGGTGTGATAGAGCTCCACAAACTCAGAAGTGTCCTCTCCTGGGCTGTCAGCGTTCACTTCATTGATCAGGAGGGTGTGCTCAGTTTCCTGAGTTTTTATGAGGTTCTCAGCAGCACCCTTGGGAAAGCAGACGTACACAAGTACCACCAATCCAACATGCCAGGTATCTCCCATGGTGAAGGCTGGGATTTTTGTCACAGTTCAGATCTGGAGAGGGAGACTGTCCTTCTCACAGCCACAAACAGAGCCCAGGAAGAAGCTGCCACAGGCTATGCAGGACAGGAATGCACAGCCTCCAACCTGGGTTGCTGGCAGAGGCACTGGCAGAGGCACTGGCAGAGGCAGGCACTCCTCTTCAGGGACTTCTGGTTTGCCAAATAAAGCAGCAATCCCACAAAAACCTGACTGAGAAGGCTTTTTACAAGAGATTTCCCAGCTCAGCTCCTTTAAAAGTTGGGGGGGGGGACAGGGGTGGGAGGAAAGAAGAATCCTGTTAGGAAACACAGAAACACACAGGTGACATTTAACAGCCTTAAAGCCTCATCATTTTCCTCTGTTTCTTCAGAGGTTTATCAAGATGCAGTGGAGCAAAGCCAGACGTTTGCAGTGTTCGACACCCTGAGACTTGGGTGAACTTTGGAAACTGTAGGTGTCGGTGTTAATAGCAATTTCCCTGAGTCCAATTTTTTCCATGGGAATTACCAGGAAAAGGCACAAAGATGACATGAACCATATTCTCCGTCAAGGAGAGGGTGGGGAAGGAGAGGACAGGTGGTTTTGGCTGGACTCCTGTCACACACATGGCAGACCAGCTCCACTGATCCCCACACCATCCAACCTGGCTGCACCTCCAGCAGATGCAGAGGTTGCAGAATACACTGTGGGGAGGAACCAGCAATTTAAGGTGTTTGGAAAAAAAGATTTGTTTTTCCATTTCTGGAGCTGTTTCCCCAAACCTGCTGAGTTTGGATGACCTCCCTGCAGCCCTTGGCCAGTTGAGGTCAGACATGGGGAGGTTTCCAGCCCATGCAACAGCACCAGCACAGACAACCAGGGACCTGCTGCCCTCCTGTGCTGTGGGGCCACATCCACGTGAGGTGGACAGATCAAGAATGCACCCAACCCTCCAACTGCTTAAAATCAGGTCTGCTGACCACAGCAGCCCCAAGGAGGGGGCACCTGGGATCTTTCCAAGTTGAGTGCCAGCAGCAGTGCATCACATCCTTCAGCTATGGCTGCGAACACCCAGGCTGGCGAGTGAGCCTGTGGCCCCACTGTCGTGGCCAGGGCTGATGCCAGGGCACAGGTACCTCCTCACAAACATAAGGAATCAGCTGTAACTCCAGAGAATGACACTAATTTCACTAAAGAACAGGCCCTGATGGAGAGGTGCCCCTGAGCCACTCTGCCTCGAAATGCCACCCCTGTGTGCCCTGCCCCACAGCCCTTCGTGTGCTGTTCTCGGGTCAGAGAGGACGGATAAGCCCCCCCACACCTCCTGCTCCCCCGCGCGGACCCAGCCCAGTGCTGCTCTCCCTTCTCTTCAGTGGTCACAATCAGAAAGGTCCCCGCTCCCTTTCGGGCACAGTTTATGCCCAAAATCACTGTCAACACAGAGCCGGCAGGCTCTTGCTCCTGCCCAGCCTCCAAAGGACAAGGAACGCTCCTCTCCCCAAACTCACCCCCACAAGGTGCCCAATTTCCACCATCTCTCCCTGTTTCAGTTGAACCCGGGAGGAAAGAGGAGGAATGCTCAAGTTGTGCCTCTGTCCAGGGGCGGGCGTGGGAGGAAGGAAACCCACCAGGAATGGGAGAAACAGCGAGGAAAAAAGTAAATTGACAAATCCCCCCTGAGCCCGGCAGGAGCCGGGCAGGATGGGAGGGCAGGGGAGGGACAGCCGAGGGGAGGGGGCAGCGGCCGGAGGGGGGTGAGAAGGGATGGGGATGGGGATGGAGACGGGGACAGGGATGGGGGACGGGAGAAGCCTCCGGCCCGCGCACTCACCGCTCGCCGCCGCCGGGGCCGGTCCGGGGAGGGCGGGGCGGGGCAGGAGAGGGAGAAGGAGCAGGAGGAGGAGGAGGAGGAGGGGTGAGGGGCGGGGGGAGCCGTTCACAGGCTCCAACCCCAGAGTGAGTTCACTCGTCCAGAAGATCCCAAAGCGGCTTCTCCCAGCTCTTCTCTCGACAGACGGAGGGATGGATGCGCTCGCATCCCAGAAAGCCCACTGTATCCTGGCTGCATCCCCACGGCCTGGGCGGCAGGGCAAAGGAGAGGAATCTGTCCCTGTGCTCCACTCTGGTGAATCCCCAGCTGCAAAGCTGCCTCCAGCTCGGGGGTCCCAGCACAGGAAAGATGGAGCTGCTGGAGAGAGTCCAGAGGAGGCCACAGAGATGCTCCAAGGGTGGAGCCCCTCTGCTCTGGAGCCAGGCTGGGAGAGCTGGAGGGGTTCACCTGGAGAAGAGGAGGCTGCAGGGAGACCTGAGAGCTCCTGCCAGGGCCTAAAGGGGCTCCAGGAGAGCTGGAGAGGGACTGGGGACAAGGGATGGAGGGTCAGGACAGGGGGGAAGGGGTTTAAACGGAAAAGGGGGAGATTTATCTTAGGTATTACAAATAAATTCTTCCCTGTGAGGGTGGGGAGGCCCTGGCACAGGTTGCCCAGAGAAACTGTGGCTGCCCCATCCCTGAAAGTGTCCAAGGCCAGGCTGGATGGGGCTTGGAGCAACCTGGGCTGGTGGAAGGTGTCCCTGCCAATGGCAAGAGAGTGGAATGAGTGTTAAGGTCTCTTCCAACCCAAACTATTCTGTGACTCTGTGATTCTATGGATGAGTGGACAAAGGGATGTTGAATGGTTTCATATCCATTCCCTCACCTCACTGGACTCCCAAGCCAGGACTAGCACAGCTGTGCTGTAGAACATTGTGTCTGTCCTTGCAGAAGCCTCAGAGGCTGAGCCAGGAGCTGGAGGGTGGTCCCTGCACGGTGGTGCCATGGCCATGCCCAGCCTGCCCAGAGTTTCCCATGGGACAGATCCCTGCAGTCTCCATGAGTTACTGTGCTGTTTCTGCTGTGCAGGATCCATGCCCAGCCTGTCCCGGTGCAGAGGGAGGAGCAAACACCTCTGCACATCTCCCAGCATGGGAGGCTGGGAGGGAGGGGCATTAGGCCCCCCCACCCTGCTTGCACTGGGATCCCATTCCCTGGAAGATGAGGAGGGGGCAGGCCTGGCCTTTCTCTTTCCCCCCCCCCATCAGCTCTTGGGTCCTGTTCCCCCAGATCTGCTCATGGGGGTGCCCAGGCCCTCTCCCTGGCTCTCCACATGTGTGTGGCTCCTGCCTCGCTCCCCTGGACACAGGGACAGAGGCAGGAGGAGGTCCCGTGGATCCCGCTTGGGGCTGGACTTGGTGCCAAACATCCATTTGACTCTGCAGCTGCTCCTGCAGCTCCCCAGATCTGACTCTTGCTCGTGACTCAGCAGCCTGCTGTCTTCCTCTTCCTTCTCACTGCAAACCAGAGCCAGGGGGAAGCTCTGCCAGAGGGGTCAGGTCTGCCCCAGGTCCTGCCAGCTGGGCTGGGGGGACCTGTGCCCCCACAGCCTCAGTGTCTTCATGGGATCCACAGCTATTCCTAGAGGAGAGGCTGTGTCACAAGAGGCAGAATAAGTTCCTACAGTGCTCCTTTAAGTGTAAAACAGTACAAGGGCATCTGCCCCCAGGGAGGGAGGAGCAGGATGAGCTTTCCCAGTGCCCCCAGTGCAGCCCAAGGCAGTGTGTGTGTCTGCAGACCAGTGCTGGGGCAGTTCCCACCCAGACTTGTGCAAAATAAACTCCTGGAGCACATGGAGCTCAGTGCTGGCCCTGAGTGCTCTGTAGGACTTCATGACAGGGAGCCAATAATCCTTCTGAGAGTGTTTATTCGGTTGAACTGTCACATTTTGGGGCCATTGTACTTTTGCAATCATGAGGCTCTGGACTTACAAAGGGTGGAGAAAAGGAAACACCCTTACTCGGAAGGGCACTGACTCATCCCTTGACGGATCCATGTGGTGTACTCAGGACTCAGTAACTCCCTGTCATGCCTGTGATGGGTCCCAGACCTGCTCAGGTCTCTGGGGGCTCCCACTCACTTCACCCTCCACCCACACACTCACATGCTGGTGGGAGATTCTGGAGGCCCAGAAAGCTCCTTCCTACCATCTGTGCCTTTTCCACCCTCACCGTGGCTCGCAGCCTGTGGGGAGGCACAGCCAGTTGGGATTTGGAGACAGACCAAACATCCTGCCACGAGGTGAAAGGAGCCTCTGTGGAGCCTGAAGGGCTGCTGCTCATGGAACGAGCAGGGACTGGTGGGGGAGATCTGGGCCCCCAGAGGGAAGAAGTTCAGGGGTGATGGGCAGGACCTCCTGTCCATGGGCACTGTCCTCAGGCACGTGGCTGATGCCATAATTCCCTTTGTGTCCAGTGTAGCTGGGAGGTGACTCTGCAGTGCCAGGCAGCTCTGGGCCATGGAGGTACCAGAAGGAAAGCTGCAGTCTCACTGCTTTGGGGGTCCGTGTCTGATGGGTGGGCTGGGCACAGTCATGGCTGTGCTCTCCAACCTCCAGCGAGCACCAGGGCAGAGCTCAGAGGGTCAAGCCCTGCCAAACCTTTCACCCCTTCACTAGGAAGGATAACACATCTCATTGCTGGAATGTGTATCCTACCTGTGTTCTGAATGAGCTCTGCTGGTCAGGCTATTAAAGGCAGGAAACCCCAGGAAAATGCTGTAGAGGGGTAGAGTTTTCTCATTCAGAAATACCCCCTCAGCAGGGGAAGACACTTTGTTCAGGTGCTGCACTGTGGTCAGCCCATACCTGGTTCGGAGGGTCTTATTGTGGGGAGTCAGAGAAGGTTGATTCAAGTGCATGGGGGACAAGGGAGCACCTGTGGGAGCTCTGAGGCTGGGGGCACTGGGGGCACGGGGGGCACTGGGGGGACCATGCAGGACCAGCTGGGACAGAACCACCTCAGCTGTGACCATGGGTGACCTGTCCTGCTGCTGTGTCCAGAGGAGGGCAGTGAGGATGAGGAAGGGCCTTGATTTGAAGCCATGTGAGGACACTGAGGGCACTTGGTGTGTTCAGCTGGAGAAGAGGAGACTGAGGGGAGACCTCCCTGCAGTTCCAACTGCCTGGGCAGGGGCAGAGGAGGGGCAGGACTGAGCTCTGCTCTGGGGGGACCAGGGACAGCCCCCAGGGAATGGCTGGAGCTGTGTCAGGGCAGGCTCAGGTGGGATCTCAGGAAAAGGTTCTTCCCTCAGAGGGTGGTTGGCACTGAACAGGCTCCCCAGGGCAGTGGGCACAGCCCCAAGGCTGCCAGAGCTGCAGGAGGGTTTGGATGATCCTCTGGGGCACAGGGGGTGACTGCTGGGGATGGGCCTGTGGAGGACTGAGGGTTGGACTCGGTTATCCTTGTGGGTCCCTTCCAACTTGGCATGTTCTGTAATTCTGTGATTCTGTGATCCTGTGAGCTGCTGGGCACGTGGTCCAGGACAGGGCGCGGGGACACTCAGCTCAGTGACAAAGGCAGGCAGACCTCAGTGTTTATTGGCTCTGCCCCAGACAGTCTGTAAAGGGCAAGCCGGCTCGGCTGCACACGCAGTTGCACACTCGACACACCCCGCGGCTGCCTCGGCCGCTCTCCCCGGGCCCAGCCTCGCAGAGCGGGGCTGCAGCGAAGCCCGCAGCCGTGTCCGTGCGCTCCCCGCGGGGCCCGGGCTGTGCCCCCGCACCCGCAGCCCCCACCAGCCCGCACCTGTGCGGGTATCCCGTCCCTCGGCCGGCCGGGCAGGGATGCCCGGAGCCTGCGGGGGCAGCAGCGCTCCCCACTGCCCCTGCGGTCACTGCAGAGCCGTCCCTGAGCTCCCTGCATTCCAGGACAATTCCATTCCATGCTACTCTACACCGCACAACGCCTCCCAGCCAGCGAGCGCTGCCACTGCGGCCGCTCTGCAAAGCGAGTCCAACCCGTGCTGCCCTCCCGCACCCGGAGATCCCTCGTTGCCAAAATCAAAGCGTTTTGGGGGCTGCTGACCTGTCCCTGGAGGGCTGAAAAAGCCCGGGCATTTACAGCTGGGGCAGGGGGTGCACCCGTAAGGGGGCTGGGATGTGAGGTCCCAGGTGGGGTTTTACAGCACCCACCAGGAGATGCTCCCACCCCTGGGATCAGCTATCAGGGCTCGGGCAGCCCGCAGGGACAGAGCTGGATGAGCTGCAGCCTCCCCTGGCCCCTTCCCCTTCTGTGAGGGGCTGGCAGGTGAGATCCACAGCACCCTGTCCATAGGGACAGCTCCCAACACGGGCTGGCTCTGCCTGGCACCGGCACTGGATGAGAGAATGCAACTAAAGAAAACGTCGGACTGATCCTGTCCCATGGAACACACGTGCTGCTCCCAAACTGATCAGCCAGGTTCTGAGGGATACTGTCCCTCCAGCAGGATCTGCTGCCCCTGGTGAGAGCGTAGCCCATACCTGTCCTTCCTGCTGAACCCATCCCTCCTGCTCCAAGAACTCTGTCCTGGCACCTCTTGAGTCTGAGCTGTTTATTGTCTGCCTGAGGATGCTATTTTCAGAATCTTTGTGCTGCTCACCTGCACCCACTCTAGATGAAATCCTGAGGAAATCCTTACTATTTATCCACTTCAACCTTCTTCCTTCCCCGGCTATGAACTGAGAGCTCTGCTGGGAGTGGTTTTCTTTTCTCAGCACTGCTCTCACTGGTGCTGTGCCTCCCACGGGCTCTCCCTGGCATCTGTTTCACAGAAAGGATGCTCCTCTGTGCACATTTCTGCCAGCCCAGCAGCAGCCACGTTTAACTGGCCCAGTGTCCCGGCACAGCCAGGGGTTTCTCACCTCCCACCCAGCTGTGCCAAGCATAGGACTCCCACAGGACTCCCACCTCAGTCCAGAAAAGCTGAGGAGATTCAGGGGCCAAAGCAGACTCCGTGTTCATCCTGGGGGAGCATCACTGTGGCACCTTTCGGGAGGGCTCTGCTCCCTCCTCTGCCAGCTCATGGCATAGAGGCAGAAAGGCTGAGGACATCAGATAGGTGGATCCCTCATGACATGAAAGACCTCAAGGGGCTGGAGGTTCTCCAGGGACCAGAGAAGGGCAGCAGAGCTGGGGAAGAGTCTGAAGCACAATTCTGATAAGGAGCTGCTGAGGTAGCTGGGGGGGCTCAGTCTGGAGAAACGGAGGCTCAGGGGGGACCTTCTGGGGACCTTCTGGCTCTGCAACTCCCTGACAGGGGAGTGGAGCCAGGGGGGGTCGGGCTCTGCTCCCAGGGAACAAGGGACAGGAGGAGAGGGAACAGCCTCAAGTTGCACCGGGCAAGGTTTAGATTGGATAGTGGGGGAATTTTCTGCACTGAAAGGGTTATAAAGCATTGGCACAGCTGCCCAGAACAGTGCTGGAGTCTCCATCCCTGGAAGTGTTCAAAAACCATGTAGATGTGACACTTGGGGTTCAGCAGGTGTGATCAGCAGCCCAGAACACTTCTACCATCTGCACTGGTTCTTCTCCCCTACTCAGCCTCTGCCCCTGCCTCCCAGTCTCCCAGCCAGCTCCCTTGACTTCCAAGTGCTGCCATGTGGGAGGAGGCTTTGGAAAGCCACTGAATGTTGAAAAAAGCTCTAAAGAAGGATGTGCACCAGTGCTCAGCCCCAGCACACTCTGGCTGCACTCTCTGTTCACAGACATGAACCAAACTGCAGGTGACAGCTTTGGGCTGGACCCCAACAGTGGGAAGCACATCCAGCCCTGGTTCCACCAGTGTTCACACAAACCCTGTGTCCCCTTAGCCAGGTGGGGCAAGCCAGGCAGCCCCCAACTACAACTACCAGCAGTCCCAGGCTGTGGGATAGCTTTGGAGTGGCCTGGGACAGGCAACCACTGTGCTGATGTGGTCAAAGAGACTGGCCAGGCCATAGGTTTGGTGTTTCCTGAGATGCTGCCTCCTCTTTTTTGGCATTGTCTCTTCTCTCAGTGCTGTGGGGGGCTGGAAGGCCACAGGCTGGGTGGGAAGCCACAGCTGCTGAGAAGAGCAGGGAAGGGCTTGCTGAGGAGCCCTCAATCTCCAGCCTGGAGAGGAGTGCCTGGAGGGATGAAGACTGCAGCTCTCCTAAAAAACCGAGATGTTTCTCCTCAAGAAACAGCAGATGTACCTGGCCTGCCCTCGGCACAGGGAAAGCTTTTTGCTTTGACCACAACAGAACTGCCACTCCAAGTGCTCCCCTAACCCAGGTGTATGAGAGCCCCTAAAGATACCCCAATGACCACCCCACCCCACCCACCAAACCCCTTGGTTCCCTCCAGGTCTCCTCCAGGAAGGATGCAATGGCACTAGTGCTGCAAGCTGCTGCCACACGCTGTGGATGCTGGAGCTGTCAGGGAACAGAAAGAAAAAGGGGATGAGACACAAGCAAAAGGGAACGAGGTCTGTCCTGCAAGAGTGGGATGTAGGCAGTGACTCTGCAAGGAGGAGGAGGAGCAGGAATAAACCCTGGCAGGCCATGCCCTGGTGGGAAGGCAAATGTCTACTCAGTGCCAGCATCACTTCAGGGCAGAGGACAACTGTGGCGGCACAGACCACTCTGGAATGCTGTCCAAGTGACTCTGGAAAGCTCTGAGCTCAGCAAAGCCTCTGCCAGCTCTGCAGCTCTCCCAGAGCTCTGGCTGTGACTTGGCAGCACCAAGAGAGTCCCAAGCTGGTGATCAGATCATACCCATGGAATCACCCAAACCGGGGCTGAGGTGGGAACCTGTGGGGTGGGCAGTGCAGGCAGGGGGTTCAGCCTCTGGCAGCTCCAGGCAGGGACAAGCTGGGCAAGAAGAGGCATGTAATGGGACTCCAAGCCAGTGGGACATGGAGTGCAGTGCAAAGCACAGCCTGAGGTTCAGGACCTGAGCCCAGCCCTCGTGCTCTGCAGTTCCTCGATCCATGGACATGGGGGATGGACAGGACTGTCAGCACAGGGTGTGGCCACCTCAGCTGACAGAGCCATATAAATGGGCAGAGGGTGCTGGAGGGACACTTACCATCCACTGCTCCAAGCAGAGTCAGTCTCAGGCTGAACTGCTTCAGGCCTGCAAGGAAAGAACCAAACCAAACCAGTCAGTCAGTGGGAGACAACAGCCACAACCTGCAGAAAGGAGACATAACAGTGGTGTCACTCTCGGAGGGAAGGACACACCAGGGCAGAGCAGTGGTCTCAGCCTGGTGGGACCTGCTGCTCACGGGCTGAGGACACAGCAGACCAGACCAACTTTGGGATAAACCAGTCCCAGAGCTCTTGACACGTTTATGGCTCCAGCCCAAATGCCCATCTTTGCACTGGTGCAAAGCCCCAAAGGCTGCAGTGCCCTGAGCTGGAGCTCACAGCAGGGAGCACTGACAGCACTGATGGGGGAGCAGCAGCTGCAGCAGATCAGTTGCCTGAGGCCCTTCCAGCACACAGGGCCTGGTGCCCACTCCTGAGGGACATCTCAGCTATGAAAGGCTGAGCCTGTCCAGGGAGTGCTTGAACAGAGTCCAAAGGGGGCTGACACATGCAGGGAACCCTTGGCACCAGGAAGCATGAGGTATTCTTGCTCTCAGCTGCATGTGGCCCTGACAGAAGAGAACACCTTCCTCTCTGCTCAGCAGTTCCTGGGAGATGGACTCTCTAAACCTGGTGCCTGGGGATCTGCCTGGTCCTGGACACCAGCTGAGAATCTCCACAGGGAGTGGCAGAGTTGGGCCCCAGGTCCCTGTTGAGGCCCAGGACACGGCTTTGCCAGCAGCAGCTCTCTGGGGAAGCAGGTCCCACTGATTCCCCTTCTCCCTGATGTGGTGGGCAGGGGTTGACACGATTCACCAGGGTCCCATGTCCATAAGGCAGGATCATCCCTCCTCCCTGCTCCCCATTTCCCTCTGAACCTCAGTTTCCAAGGAGAGGCCTCCAATTATAAATCTGCATGCTTTGCATGCCTGATGGAGGTTATTTCAGCTGCCAACAGAACCTGATGCTTGGGAACCCCCAGTCAGCCTAAAATTGCTGTGACAGAGCATTTGGTATGACCTCCCTCACAGAGCCCAAGCAAGGTTAAACCATGACAGCACATACAGAATATATACAGAATATATACAGAATACACAGAGTAATGTAACAGAGCCTATAACAACATACAATATCCTGGTATACTGCATGCAGCTCATGTGTATATATTATTTGTGACATATATGGGATACTTCACCATAAGTGTGCTTCTTCAACCATGCTTAATTCCATGAAACCAGCACAAACGTTAAACCTGTGCTGGAGAAGGTGGGAATGGGCAGGGGATGCTCTAGATAATGCACACACACAATCTACATGTGCACATATTCTCCTCTGTGCACTGTGCATCGTGCTGGGCACAGAGCACCACTCCAAGGTGTGAAACAAGCTCCCCCAAGCCATGGATTACAGGACCACTCTCAGACTGTGTGAGCATTCACCACTGAAATGAAGATGAAATAAAATCCCAAGCAGGTGCTTTTTAATGGCTGAAGAACACAAACCTCTTTCTTTCTTTTTCCATAAACCCTATGTCCCCTTTGTACTCCTCCTTTTCCTCCTCCTTGCCTGGCAGTAGGAGCCCACACTGAGTTTCCATAGGTGCCACTTCTCCCTTTCCTGTCACTTAGGCCACTTTGGAGCTGGTTGAGCCTGGACACGGCTGTTCAGCCCTGGTCCATTAGCAGGGCTCATTCTGGGCCTCTGAGCCTGCTGTGAAGTGGCTTAGCAATAGAAGGAAACCCTTTCCCCCTCACCCCAGGTGTAGCCCCCATGTCCCCACACGGTGAGTGAGGACAGCTCAGACAGTTGCTGCCCCAGGTCCTGCCTGGCACGGCCACTGCAGCCCATCAGGATGCTGGACATACCCTGGGCTCCACTGCCACCCACGGGCCACACTGGCAACATTTCCATGGAGGTTCCCAAGACAAGCACTGTGCCATCCCTCAGGCACACAGAAACCAGGTGAGTGATGGAAGCTGCTCTGCCAACACCCCAGCCAATTCAGATCACTCCCTTCACACAGGGAAGAAATGCTACCACCTCTTCCCCAGCTCTTCTCCACATGGATGGAGCTGCTGCCTCACACTAACATGGAAAATACCCCAGAACCACCTTGTGTTCCTTCACATCCCTATCTCCACAGCTCCCCCATCCCCAGCCCACTCCTGCCGCATGGGACACCTCCCGTGGGGAGCCACCAACACCACGAGGAGCTGCCAGCAGTTGTCCTCTCAGCCCAGCCCATTAAGAACATGGCTGAGCTGAGCAGAAAGAGCCAGGGGTGCAAGGAAAGACAGGAAAAAGAAGGCAGGGAGAGTGACAGCCACAATGATGCCCATGGAGAGTGGGGTTTACTGGGAACCCTCGTGGTACCTGCAGGACACAGACTGGAACTGTCCTCTTCTCTCCTGCAGGTCTGTGTCTGCTGTCTCCTGGAAGCAGGACAGACAGAGCTGTACCTCAGGGACAAGCTCCTTGCAGATGTCAGCAAGCCCTGAGGAGACTTCTGGGCAGTAGCTGCTGGTGGGTCTGAGCACTGTGGGCGGTCAGGAGCAGCATTCCTGAGCACTGGAGCTGGTGCAATGCTCCAGAACACCAGTGCTGCAGCCCATGGCCCTTCCTCAGCTGAAAATGCTTGATAAAACTGCTCAAGTTTGGTGCCTTTTTTAGGGTGGAGTGTATGGGAGCCCAGCACAGCTACCTCCTGCAGATGACAACTGCTGCACAGCGCCAGAGACCACCGTTCCTGCGCTCTCCCAGAGCTCAGGAGAGACCTCTCAGCCCGGGCTCACACCTGGCCCCACACACCATCAGGACAAGGCAGTCACTGGTTTCCAGCACAAACCTTGAAACAATGGTTCCCAGTGATTTCAGGGACATCCTCCTGGCCTCCCTCTCCTCCAGGCTGGCCAGCAGGGCTGCCCTTACACTGCATGAAGCCAGTGCATCCTCTTTCAATACCTTTCACAGGAACCACATCACCTGCTGCCTTTCCCACGCAGGTTCAGACAGCTCAGAAGAGCATAAAACCAAATGGCCAACCCCCAAATCCTTCCCCACTTGGAGAATTGGCTTCATCCCATCGCTGTTGAGTCCCTTCCGTGCAGCTGGTGCAGCTGGAAGCCCTGCCTCGTCACAGGGCCCATTGTGAACACACTGATTATGCTAAATATGTGTGCATTGAGCAGCATAAGAAGGTATATAAATAAGCTGTGGTATATAAATAAACTGTGGTTTCCAAATTTAAATCTGCAGGATGAGGAAGTTGGTAAAGCAGCTTTACCTGGGTGTGATATAACAGAGGAAACTAAAATTAGGAAGGCTTCCTTCCCTTCAGCACACTATGCTAAGTGCCAGCAGAGCTGGACAAATCAATTTTTGGCAATATATGTGTGGTAAAACAAAGCATGGATTTAATTATTTGGGTTTCTTTTCTTTTGTCAAAAATTCCTATCAGAGGTTGTGGGTAGAAGCAATAAAAGCTTCCAAGAGCCTCCACCAGGAGTAATTGCCCGTAATGTTTCGTGGAGGGCAGTTTTGGAACTGAAATTCTGGGCCCACTGGCTTCCCATGGGGAAAGGGCAGTTTGTAAGGGGAGAATGTTAAATTTGATTTGGAAATCCATTACATGTTTGCAAACCAGGCTGAGCAGCAAAAGCTTAGGGAAGGGATCCAGTGCCTGTGGAATGCCAGGCCAGTGGGAGCATCTTCTGCTTACTGACCCTGTTTCAGGGCTGTGCAGACACTGTTCAGGAGAACAACCCCTGGGCACTGGCCCTCATGAATCCAATGCCCAAAGACAGCTCTTGGCTTGATTTCCCTCTAGGTTTGCTTCCTACAAAAACCAGCTGCAGGGAAATGCCCACTTGCCTGGCAGATAATACTGAGAACTCAGAGCTGGACTCTGGGTGCTAAGAAGGACCCTGAATGTTTGGCTGGGACATTCCTGCAGGAGATGGCAAAGCCAGGAACACTGTTCCTGTCAGCCTTGGTTGAAATGGCAAAAGCAAATGCCTGCATGAGAGAAGGAGATTTCTGCAGCAATAATCTCCCAGTTTGGCTCAACTCACCAATCTCTTCCACAATATTCTCAGTGCCTCCATGAGGAGTGGTTTTTTCCTGTTCAGACACAAAGTAAGAGAAGAATAAGCACCTCAGGCAGGTGCACCTTGACCTGCCCTGGGGCTCTGAGACAGGAGACATTGAGGGGCTGGAGCGTGTGCAGGGAAGGGAACGGAGCTGGGAAGGGGCTGGAGCAGCAGGAGCAGCTGAGGGAGCTGGGGGGGCTCAGCCTGGAGAAAAGGAGGCTCAGGGGGGACCTTCTGGCTCTGCAACTCCCTGACAGGAGGGGGGAGCCGGGGGGGTCCAAGAGCTCTGTCTTGGCTCTGCTCCCAGGAAACAAGTGACAGGATGAGAAGAGCGAGCCTCAAGTTGTGCCAGGGGAGCTTTAGATTGGATATTGTGAAAACTTCACATAAAGGGCGGTCAGGCCGTGGCACAGCTGCCCAGGCCAGTGGTGGATCCCCATCCCTGGAGGGACTTAAAAGAGCTGTGGATGTGGCACCTGGGGACACGGTTTAGTGGTGGCCTTGGCCGTGCTGGGGAACGGTTGGGCTTGGTGATCTTGAAGGTCTTTTCCAACCTTAACGATTCCATGTTCTATGAATCTATGACTCTGGGGCTTTCCTGGTCATGGCTGGTGTTAACACCAGCACCACAGGGGCAGAACTGCCACCCCCCTGCTCTCAGCACCACCCCAGCTGTCCTCAGCCACTCCACCCAGCAGCGTGGTGTCCATGCCACCCAGCCCAAGTCCTTCAGTTATGCTGCTGTGAGCTAAGTCCTTCTCCTCAGGGTGTTTTTTCCCCCTAACTAAAACAGGTAACTTTCCTTAAACAATAACTGTGCCAGTTGGCACTGTTTGCTCCAGAGTTTGGGAAGAAGAGCAAGAACAGCACTGTTCATCCTTCTGATAAACACCACTGATGTGCACAGAGAAAGAGCAAAGAACAGTGCTGCCCCCAAACTGTAATGTTACAAGGGATA